ACAACAGAACAACAGAACAATAAACTCTGAGCATTTGGGTGAGACCAGTACCTGTGGATCAGAACCGTGCAGCTCTGGAGGACAAAACACAAACTACAGCAGAGAGAGGACACAAAGTTAATGACATGCAGTGGTGGCATTGTGCTGACAGGAGCCCAGTGCATTGTGGGAAGTCTCTGAGCAGCAGCAGCAGCACAACTAAGGGATGGTTCAAGGCCACTCAGAGCAGCTTTGACTGGGAGCTTTATCACAAAGTCAAGTTTGAAGCGTTTTTTATTCAGCGCTCAAAGTTTCCAGAGTTCAGCTGTTAAATGAGAAGAGAGGGGAAGTGAAGGAAAATCTTTAATTTATCTGCCCACACGCCTCTGATTTGAATTTCTACAGGACTGTAGTATTTAGGAAAGCCTTCCATCGTGACCTTCCAGATGTAATTCTACACTCAGAACAAACCTCCTGATATCAGCTGGAAGAAGTTCTGACATGTTGTTTGTGATTTCTGAAATCTTGTTTTTTTTCTGAGCGATTTATTAAAAACTTGTTCTGACCAACTGCTGCTGAGCTGGATCAGCTTTAGAGCCATTTAATCAGTAATATTTAAATAAAAGGCAACACATGTGCAGAGCCAGCCTTGGGAGGACGTTTAAATAGAAAATCTGAAAGTTTAGGACGTTTTTCTTCTTTTCTTCGCCACCAAGCAGCTCAGCTCTGCTGCTTTTATTGAGTTCTTTTCAGCTATTCATGATGCACAGATGGCACCAGCCTACAGGCCCATTATGCGACCAGATGAATCCGAGCAAGGTACTTAATTGGCCTGGTTCGGTGCGAGCTGCAGTGTGGACAGGACCTGAGCCTGCAGCAGGGGCGACCCGGAGCCTCCTGCCTTGTTGTCGGCTACAGGACTGAATAAAGCTGCCCTCCGTGCGCCGGGCCGGGGCTGGAGCGGTTCTGTGGCCCGGCGCTGAGCGCGGCTCTGACAGGCTGCCTCTCCCAACTCCACTCCACCACCATCCGAGTTACTGAGAAGGCTTTCGACTCAAGCCTCTCCATCCGCCATTTTCAGCAGATTGAAAGCAGGTAGAGCACAAAAATCACAAGTCCCCGCTCACATACGGCAGGTAAGTGCGCGTCAGAGGATCCTACAGCAGATATAAGCCGCCCTCCGGCAGCACATTGGGGCAGAACAAGGCTGCGGCCACCTGACTCCGGCAGCATCGGGAGGAAAAGGGGAGCGGACGGGAAACAATAAACTGCATCCTCCAGGCGCTACGGTTCGGTTCTGCTTCCATTTCATTTGGCAACTTTTCGTTTTTTTGGATGAACGGAGACGAAACGTTTTAAAAATCCGCTTTTACGCACGAAGCCACGTTTAAATCTGTGGCCGTTTGTTGCTTGAACTTCTGCTAAGGAGGGATTTAAAAATGTCTGGTCACAACTCCAGCAGCAGCAGCGGAGCCAGGAGAGGAGAGGAGAGCAGAATCACATTCATCTGAATGAACCGGCCAATAAAAAGTTGGAGCATTTCATCCTTTATGTGAAGAAGCTTCAGCAGCCGCAGCTCGACTCACAGCAGCAGACAATAAGCAGCTTTATTGTCTGCTGCTGTCACTTATCCGCCATTGAGATCCTGTAGCATCATCAGGAGAAGCTCTGAGGTCAGAATATGAGCTGCTGAGCTGACAGGAGTTTGTATATTTGTAGTGAACTGAGTGTGATTTGAGGACCAGCCGCTTATTGTTGTTCCACAAAACTGTTTTTTGTGCCAGTTGGGGTGAAACGTGAGTGACTGCAGCAGCCTGAGATGGAAACACTGGACAGATCAATCTGTGCTGAGCTTAAAGTTAAAGTGCAGCTCAGTTAATGGGCAGAAAGCTTCATCTGGAGCTAATCTGAGGATCATTTTCCAAACAAACACCAACAGACCGGCTCCAGTGTCCAGAATATGAGGCTGTGCTTCCTTTTTCTGTCTTTAATGTGATTGTTAATAGAATGTCTTGTCTAACATGTGTGTGAGGAAAAGTTTAATGAACAAATGAGGTTTTTGCACAACATGCATTTTAACCAAAGTCCCTTAAATCTGTGCAGCTCTAAGTCTTGCTGGAGCTTTTAAGGCCGTGACTCCTGCCTGATGCTGCGCTTATCTTATCGCAGGGCTTATCTTCAAGGTTTGGGACGGTTGGTCTGACAAATCGAGCGATTCGAAGATGTCACGTTGTGCTCGAGAACGCTGTGAAAACCTTCTCCTAACAAACTGCTAATGGAAGCATCGGTGGCTGCAGAAATGTTCCTCAGTGAATTCATAGTTCATGAAAAACCCACAAATGCATGATGGGTAGAAGGAAATATTGTCAAAATGCTGCCTGTCTGCGGTTTCATTTGCATGCCACGACTTCCCTTTCATTCATGATGAGAGACAGGTTCATGTCGCTGGTTCACTACAGAAGTAAGTCCTCATATGTTTAGCTTTCATCTGGAGTTTTATGCAAAAACAAAAGACAGTATTTCATAGGAAGCTTTTGCTGAGAACCTCTTGGGAATCCGTGCATCCATTCAGGTGTGCTGGAGCGTCTCAGTCACTTTGCTCCATATTACAGTTCATGTGATATGTTCAGCTGTCTTGTGGAGAACAGCAGGTCTGATGGTTCTGGTGACCCCAACATGTTGCTTTGTGTCACCCGGTGCAGGTCATGGCCATCACCGGAGGGACGCTGGAGTCTCTGGATGACATTCCAGCTCAGGTGTGGAAAGGTCTGCCGGACTGTCTGAACCTCAGACCTTCTGCTGTGAATCAAAGCCGTATTGGTAAGTAGTGAGTGTCCTGCTTGTTTTCTTAGCTGCAGCTTTATCAGCGTTTGATTTCCGTGTGCGTCTCGTTGGTGTGCATCCTTGAGCAGTGAGACCGGGCCGGGCCGCAGAACGAAACTTCAGAGCCGTGATTAACTTTCAGCAAAGTTGATCAAATTGTGTAAACAAAAGTGAACTTCATTGCTATTTATGTCTCTAATCAAAAGGCTTTCAGTGTTTTCCTCCCGGCCTCAGACATGCTTATTGCTTTTAAGAGCCTGATTAGGATTCGTGACTCTGAAGTCTGGTAAACACCCAGACTCTGGACTCGCTTGATCCTCCGTTACCCCTCAGACGGCTGCAGAAGATGCAAGAAAGCAGAAGAGACCAAAACGGAGTGGATGGACGGCAGCATTTATTGTCCAGGAATCAAAGTTAGCGAATGCTGCACAATAATGAAGAAGAAAGTGATGAATACATAAATATAAAAACAAGTGCACTTTGGTAAATGGTGCTTAGAAGAAGTCATTTTAACAAACTTGGGAAGGATTTTTATTTTCAAATGATCAGTTCCTGTGCTTATCTGTTAATTAATATGATTTCTGATCATCAAAACAAAGACAAGCTAATGCATGGTGCTCCTCCTGTCTAACATGAAGCCTTGGAGCACAGGTGTGTGATTATCTTTTCTATCACACCAAACTTTAGACAGAATCAGTCCTGAACAACCCATAATTATGACACCGAGGTTTATTATAAACATCATGACCACCACCGAGTCTGAGGCTGCTGCTGTTAGGATGAAGCACAATATTTCTCTTTTCTGTTTTACAAATGGACTCGGACACATTCACACATATTTACGTCTCAGATGGGAAAAGTGTGAAATGTTTTTTTTTTTTTTAGGTGTCTGGGCCACAAGAGTCATTCCAAAAGGGAAGCGGTTCGGTCCGTTTGTTGGAGAGAAGAAGAAGAGGTCCCAGGTGACCAGTAATGTCTACATGTGGGAGGTACGTCAGGTACATCCACCTGCTCCATGCTGCACGGCTAAAACAAGCCCGGCGACGTTCTTAAGCCCTCTGAGTTAATGCAAACATCAGGAATATTCACCACCGATGAAAATAGAACAATGAGTTTCACCACCTGGTCTCTGGGCTCTGTAGGTGTATTTCCCAGCGCGAGGGTGGATGTGCGTCGACGCCACCGACCCCACGAAGGGGAACTGGCTGCGGTACGTGAACTGGGCTCGATCCAGTGAGGAGCAGAATCTTTTCCCGCTGGAGATCAACAGAGCCATCTACTACAAGGTTTTAAGGGTGAGTTAAGCACACGTTCATGTGTCCACAAGTCAGTGGTCTGTTGGTGAAGAAGGTCGTCAGAGTTGGATTACAGAGATAATGTGGTGCTGTTGGTCGTCATCAGACCCACTGAGGGACTCATGATGGGGATAAACCACCATTATAGACAAAGAAATGTGGATTAATTTAGGATCAGCCTTCCTTCCATCAGTGGGTTTAAGCTGGAGGGACATAGATGCTGATGTGACAGATTAGAAAGTGAATGCGTTGATTCATGACATCAGCAGAAAACAAACGCCGTCTCATTCAGAAATCCAATTTGTGGAAAAAACAAAACAAACTTGCTCCATTATTAGAAATGTTTTCCATCACAGAGGAGGACGTCGTAGCAGCAGCTCCTCGGCTGCATTAACACACATATTTGACACTTACAATTACCACAGCTGTCTAGTCGTTGTTAGTGACTCCGTATATGAGGACAAAAAACCCAATGAGCTTCCTTCAGGTTCCTGAACATCCAGCTACAACACAAAGCTGTGTTTTTAGTATTACTAATCTAATCATGTAATACGACCTCATGATGAATCACTCAGTTTCTTGGACCGTGTTCCTGCAGAGCAAGTGCTTCTACCGGGACAGTCCACGTACGTTATGCTGACAATATTACACTAGTTTAACTGAAGCATTTTAAAGGCAGATTTATCGCTTTAGTCTCAATACTATTATTCTTAAGGCCTGTTTTGAGTTCTCGGAGAACCGATGCCAAAAAGTCCATCTCCGATTAGATGCTGGTGATTTGTTTCTGTGCAGCAGTCAGCGTTTTGGTTTTAGGAAGTGGCTCAGGGACATGTGTTTTAGCATGATGTGAGTAATTATGCATGTAAAATAATCACCTAATCATCTAATCTATCACCTCATTAATTCCACCTTAAAGATAATGACGCTGACTTATGAGTGACGCTGTCATGGAGGCATTAACTTTATTTATCTCTGAGAGTCGGTTAGAGTCAGTTCTGCTTCTTTTGTGCTGCGATACCTGATATTGATTATATAGAAATCGATCTTCTGTAAAAATCTTCCTCCCTCATGTTTGTAAAATGTGTTGGAGAAATCAAAGGATATGATCCGGTCCAGGAGGCACCGCTGCAGGCTGCCAGCACCAGTAAACCTGTAGTTAAATGATGACCTCCATCACAGATTCAGTCAAAACTGAGCTTTATTATCTTTGTAAAGGTAGAATTTATGCCTGAGTTTCCCATTAAAGCAGTCTGTGTGATATTAAATGAACCACTTCTAATATTATAAAGCATCCGTATTGATGAATACCAGATGTGTGGCGTCGCTCTACACTGTTGTTCTGGAACTTTTACTGAAGTAGAAGATCTTAATGAATCCTTCCAGCAGTTAAAATACTTTAATACACACTCGGTGGCATTTTAATGGGTGAACCAGAACAAAACCCGTCAAATGCAACCATCCTGCAGTAACTCCTGACCTCATGAAAGCTTTAATGTCTGGCTTCACTTCAATCTGTATTAAATGTCCTTTTAGATGTCGATGGCGGTGCCGTTACCTCAAACTGACGGGTCCAGCCCATTCATGTAAAGTGAAGATAACAGAAACACCTCTAAGGCTTCAGCATTCTGTAGAAATATGATCAAATATGGACCAGTTCAGGATCCACATCACAGAGAAAGTAAGATGTGTAACAACAGACCATCAGCAGGGATTCCCCAGAACATAAATCACGTCCTGCTGGTGGCAAAGAAACGCTGAAATGATCATTTCCACTAAAACTATCAGATCAGAAGCTTTTTATTGCCAAGTGAGCTCGTACACACGAGGACTTTGGCGTGGTGAATGAGACCGGTCCACCAAAATAAGAACAAGACAGGAACAAATATAGAATCTAGATCTGAGAAATACTAAATAAAATATGTAAAAGAAAAGTATAAAAGTACTACGTAAGTAAAAAGTACTGAAAGAAGAGACTTAAATGATGAGACATTTTGCAATATTTGTCAAAATCAGTGCAAGATGAGGTTTTTTGTGTGCATATTGTTAAACCAGACTAATTACAGGCAATACAGGTAAACAGAACCACTGAAAACAGCTGATCCTGTCACATCACATCTTCTCTAACATAGTTCTATGGTCTGGATGAACTATATTGAAGGACTGCTGTTAAACATGTGTACTAACTGAACAATAGACGGAGCATACTTAGCAGTATTAAATCTACATGGTTGCCCTTTAAAGTCGCTGGTCAGAGGAATGTGCTGGTTCTGTTATCTAATCACGTCCTTTAAGGCCACACCTGACGGGTTTAACTCAATTGTTAAATTTGTTATCAGTAAAAAACTTTATGTGCATTATTAGCTGATCTGAACCCTTTTCTAGCAACACAAGGGAGATTTTTAACTTTTTCTTTTAGTCTGAAAACAAGATAATTCCCATGTTGCCTTTGTGTTTTTGTTCAGTGTGAATTTGCAAACCGTCTATGATCATACAGATTCATCCAAACTTTATTCTTTCTTTATTAGGATCCCCATCAGCTCCCACTGAGTGGCTGCTCGTCTTCCTGGAGTAAAAATAAGAATTATAATTTACAAAACATTAAAAAATACATAATAAATAGCAGTAAATGGATTACAACAGTGTAAATACAACACTAATACAGACACTGTGTTTCCTCCTAACAGACCCTGTGTGTGTGTTTAGTGTCTCTGATGTGTTCATAAAGTGAGTTCTAGTGTTGAAGCAGGACCACATTGTTGGCGGATCTCGCCCGGACCGAGCCGAACACTGTCAGAACCGTGCAGACAGATAGGATGCACAGTAGCCCAAATATCCCCGCTGCCTCTCAGCAAGCCGCGCTGTGATTGGCGGCCGGCCTCATCTCTCACTGTTGCAGCCTATCGGGCCGGGAGAGGAGCTGCTGGTGTGGTACACGGTGGAAGACAACCCCGAGATAACAGCTGCACTGGAGGAAGAAAGAGCCAGCAGTCTGAGCAGGAGAAACTCACCCCGGGCGAAGCGAGGTGAGGCCTTACCTACCGCTGATGACTTTCTACAGCTCGTCCGTGCTGTCCGTGCCGCTCACGCGTGGGGCCGAACCGAGCCCGCGACCCGTTTCCGATTCGCTGCCCAGTCGAAGTTGTGCCAGGACGAGCTAAGCTAGCTGCGAATGAAGGAAGGCTAGTGGAAGCTAACGGCTGCGATGTGTGGGGCTTTTCTCTACTTTCACACCCGACCCAAAACTCGTCCGTGCCGCCGGATTTAGCCCCAAGTGTCGGTCGATACGCCGCCCCTGTGCCGTAAAAGCCCCCGGGTGGCTGTTCAACGAGTCTCCGGGCAACTTTTCGGTAGCTTTTCCTCCTCTGGGTCCTGACGTTGTCGAGGATGTGACCTTCCTTGAGTTCCTAAAGCATGAAAGCCATCCATCGGCGAGCCTCCACCAGATGATGGCCTAGCACGTTAGCTAGCTAGCCCGCTCCCCTGCCCCACCGCGGGCTCAGTACCGCGCTGGTTCGGGATAACAGCCTGTAATATAGCTATTATATCTGAGCGAGAGAGTTTAAAATGAGCCTGTACGAGGTTCGGATCCAGAATAACCAGTTCGTCGAGTTGTCAGACTCGGTGTCGGATGCTAGCATGAGGCTAAACGGCTAGGTCTGAGCGCACGGACATCTCGGTGTGCAGCAGCAGATGGCAAACTGTGGGCTGTGAATTATGACTAAAAACCGATCATATCGGTGAGAAGAACCGGTAATCCGTGTTATAATGGGTCGATGTGGTGTCAGGTTCTGGTTTCACGGCGTTAACTTGACGTGGCTTTACACAACATCACAACAAAACCAGTAAGAAACGCCACGAAGCGTCATCTGGTGGCTCTGATTCCATCTTTAATCCAAACTTGCATCGTTATTGGTGTTAAAATCAGAGTTTACATCAGCTGAGCCGTCAGGTCATCAGATATAATCAGCCTGGCAGGCGTGTGCCACATCCACGTCTGTTATTATGAACTTTGAACATCGTGTTTCCATAAACTGAGACCAGGAGACACAGGAGCACAAAGACAAATGATTTAAGGAAAAAAACAACAACATAAAGTTATATATAATGTCTGTTTGCTATAACCTTTGCCTTGCACATGTGGTTGTATAATATTACAAGATAATAATACGTCTGTGTAAACACATATATTTATATATCAGTCATATGCTTGCAGATGTGACTCTTTATTAACATGTAATTACAATAATGCTTAAACATGGGCTATATACACACACACACATATATATATATACATATATATAGACAACATGCAGAAATTCTGCCCGTAACGTCTGAAGTATGTAAATTAAAGTGAGGACTATGGGCTACATCTCAAAGGCTTTATTTTGCCGCAGCTCGTTTAATTTTCTACGTAACCCTGCAGCCAATAAGCCCTAGCACATCATCTTTCTGTGCTGCAGTGTGGTGACTTTTGGCAGCCCTGTATTGTACTGCAAAGTCACTGCCAATGAAGTTCCCATTTCATCTTAATGTGAAATGTCATCCATGTTACTGAGCTAAGATATAGTTGAGTAGGTCGCTTCTGGATTTTAAAAAAAGACAGAAATAGCCACTGCTCTTAGATGAGTGAAGTGACACAGAGGTTTTTGTAGCTGTGTTGCTGCTGCAGATTTAGCAGAATGCCTCTGACCATGCTGGTCAGATGACTGACCTGCAGCATGTGCTTCTCTGCTATGAATTAGGCTTTGTAGGCCAGGTCAGGTGACCTTGTTGACACACCCAGTGACAGGGAGGTGCAGGGAAGCCTCCTGAGTCAGAGGAGGCTTTGAAATTCAAAGCAGTGTCATGTTAGGCATCTTGTGAGACTTTATCTTATGCGGCAATAGTCAAACGCCAAACTAGTGATGCATGCACACCCATGATTGTCATTACAATGTCAGGCTTCATGTTGTGTGTTTGGATGATAATAATGTTAGGTAGAAAACTTAAACTGTGTTCATAGAACTCATGGGCCTGTTAACTGCAAATACTACAACATACTGATCACTTTCCTCTGCTTTCTGTCTGTAAGCCTGTGTTTGATTGAGCCCAATGCAAAGTGATGTGTTTGTGTTTGCAGCCAGAAGAAAGCTGCTGGAGAAAGCCAGGCAGGCTGGTTTGGGTGGATTCAAGAAAACAAGTGGAGCCAAACCTACCGTCAAGGAGATGTGGGATGGGGAAGAATGTAAGCTGTAGGCTTATTCCCAAGTACAGTCAGAATAAATTCAGATGTTTTCAAGCACTTTGCAGCTGGATATGTCTTCAGTTAGTTAGCATAGCTTTTAGGTGTGACCTGTTTGTTGGAATTCCTGAAAGATTGTGATGAGAGAACACAACTCCTCCTCGTGTTTACAGGTGTGAAGGAGAAGGAGGAGGACGAGAGGCCGTCATCCGTAAGGACCTCACAGGAACTGGAGGCAGCTCGTCCCCTGGGAAGCACTGACTACACAGATGTGCAGGACATGTCGGCAGCAATGAAGGACAGCGGAAACAGGGAGGAAGAGGAGGAGGAGGAGGAAGAGGAGGAAGAAGAGGAGGAGGAGGATGTTGAGCTGCAAGATCCACATGAAACGCAGCACCAAACAGCTCAGCCTTCAACCGATGCCATGCAAAACAAGAAGCCCGGTCCATCGCTACCCTGTGCTGAGGAGAGCCATAAGGACTCACAGGTAAAGGTGGAGCGTTCCTCTATTGCAGGGCAAGAACCAGAGGCCGAGGCCGATCTTGATCTTGACCCTGAGGTTGACCTTGAAGGTGATCCACAAGGAGAATCGTATCCCTGTCCGCACTGTGAGCGCCACTTCTCCACCAGGCAGGGTCTGGAGCGCCATCTACACATTCACGCCATCAGCAACCAGCAAGCACAACTGTTCAAGTGCCGGTACTGCAACAAGTCCTTCGGCTCGCAGGTGGGACGGCGGCGGCATGAGAGGAGGCACGAGAGCGGGTTGAAGAAAAGGCCCGGCTCCCTGGCTGGAGCCGCCGGTCTGCTCAGTCCTGTGGTGCAGACCGATTCTAGTCCTGACTGCACCAGTCCAACCAGTCACTATATAGCCATAGGGTCCCAGTTTACAGGAGGACATCTGCACAACTCTGAGATGCAGAGAAAGGAGTTGGGGCCTCACGCCGACCGTCCCTTTATATTAGATGAGAACGGGGAGTCAAAGGAGCTCCATCCCTGCAAGTACTGCAATAAAGCGTTTGGCACACACACCAACATGCGCAGACACCAGCGCAGGATACACGAACGGCATTTGTTACCAAAGGGAGTTCGCAGGAAAGGCATGCTGCTGCAGGAGGCGTCGGCGCAGCAGCAGAAGCAGCAGCAGCAACCCGATGAGTCCCCCAGCACCAGCCCGCCCCTCGTCTACGTGCCCAGCGCCGACACAGAGGACGAGGCGGACAGGGACGATTACGCAGTCGACATATCCAAAAACATCTCTGAGAATTTGAGCTTTTACATCGATGGCAAGATTGTGTCCACCAGCTCGGTGAGCAGCTGTGAGGTGATAGAGGTGGACTCGAGGTCTGCGGCTCTGTTTGGTTTGGACACGGTCATAATTAGTCCGAATCAGATCAGTCAGGCTCTGAAGGTGGAGGGGAGGACAAGTGCAGGCAAGCAGATCCCCAACACGGGGCAGTCAGCCGTCAAAAGGAGAACATCCACCCCCCCACTTGTTCCCAGCCTTAAAGTGGAGACCGAAACAACGGCGTCGTCTTCGTCATCCTCCTCATCTTCCTCATCCAACCTGTTAGTGGGAGGACTGTTTCAGCAGGCCACAGATTCATCAGCGTTTCAGCGAGAGAAAACGGTTTACCTCTCGCCGAAGCTCAAACAGCTCCTCCAGACACAGGACATACAGAAATCCGCCATCACCCTGATCACAGAAAGCCATAGACTGGCCTCGCCGCTGTCCGTCACGCAGCTGCAAGGGGCGTCAGGGAAGTTCAAAAGAAGAACCGCCTCACCACCGTCGTCTCCACAGCTCAGTCCTGCCTGTAAAGCCGAGAGCTGTAAAGCGGAGGTGTCGACCTCCTACACCCTGAAGGTGCCAAAGCTGGAGAGCCACAGCGTGTCGCCTCCTGAGAGCGTGCTGGACAAAGACGAGCGGGACACCCTGAGCCCCTCTGGAAACCAGCCGCCCTCCAGCAGCGGAGGAAACTCCTGTAATCAGCAGCCCTTGGATCTGTCAAACTTTGTCAGTAGGAGGAGTGACAGCTTGAGCAAGGTGCACGGGGACTCAGCCCTTGATCTGAGCTTGCATCGAAAGGCCGCTGCAGAGCCCGAATCAAAGGGGAATCCGGCGCCGCAGCCGCTCGTCAAGAAGAGGAAGCCCAACACCAGTATGCTTGAAAAGGTGCTAATGAACGAGTATGTTGGTCTGACTCTGCCGGGAGAGGACAGCTCCCTCACCTTGACTAACCTAAGCTGTTTCCATTCCCGCTCTCCCAATGTCGCGTCAGACTCGGCCCACCCCTCTCCGCCCTCCCTGACCCCCGTCACCATGAATCCCTCCTCACCTGGTACCTGCAGCGTGACGTCCCCGACGCCGCCTCCACCTGTGCTACCTACTATACCGTCTCCACCAGCCATGCCAAGCTCTCCTCTTTCCCAGCCTTCAGACTCGTCTGCACTGAGACCTCTTCCCGTTCTCTCACCAAAGATGTCTCCGAGATCAGTTGAACAGAAGTCCCTGTCGGACTCGGAGGAGAACTTCTTTGCTGAGGAAAACAAAGATGAAGAGGAGGACCATATCTCTGAGCCACTGGATTCCCCAAACACTCCACTTGAAGGTCCCGCTAATCGTACAGCGACACCGAGCCCTCCGGGGCCTGCATCAGTAGATGTGCCCACTACAGAAGATGATGTTTCTCTGGCTGCAGCTAGCCTGCTAAACGGCAAACTGAACCAAGACGTTGTCTCAGTAACAGAGAAATCTTTGAAACCTGACTTTGCTGCTCTCTCGTCCCAACCAGAGTCATCATCTTCCTCAATATCTCCTCCTCTTGCTTCACATGATTCGCCTCCATCTCTAGTTTCACAGCCTCTACTTCAGATTAAGATAAAGGAAGAGCCTCAGCACAGTGTGGACGAGCTGCCGGTTATGAATCACACACCTCAGGATGAGGACGGTGTCGGCTCTTCCTCTCAGCCTGCTGCTTCTGAGAAACCACCTGACGAGAAAACGTCTGAGGCGGAGGAAGTCGACTCGACGTACTGCAAGACCTTTGTGTGTAACGTCTGCGAGGAGCCGTTCAGCTCCATCAAAGAGCTCAGCGGACACATCGCGGAGCACGCGGCGGACTGGCCCTTCAAGTGTGAGTTTTGTGTTCAGCTGTTTGGTGAAGCTCCGGCGCTGCTGGCTCACCGGACCACACTACACGGAGTGGGCCAGATCTTTGTGTGCTCCGTCTGTTCCAAAGAGTTCGCCTTCCTCTGTAACCTCCAGCAGCACCAAAAGGATTTGCACCCAAACGAGGCGTGTTCTCATACTACTGTAGAGAGTGGCAAGCTGAGGCCACAGAATTACACAGACCCATCCAGAGCCAAAGAGGAGAGCAGCCCCTCGACGCCAGCACCAGAGGCGTCTGATGACAATGCTCCACCCAGTGACTCTCAGTTAGCAAAAGAAGAGCCTGATGTGAACGGGAACCACGCGGAGGACGGGGCCGAGGACCCCAACGAGGAGCTTTACACTACAATAAAAATCATGGCTTCAGAAGGAGGGAAGCCTAAAGGCCCCGACGTCCGCCTCGGCATTAATCAACACTACCCCAGTTACAAACCACCCCCATTCCCTTATCACAGCCGTTCCCATGCTGGCTCTGTGGCCTCGGCTACTAACTTCACCACCCACAACATACCACAGACTTTCAGCACTGCCATTCGCTGCACCAAGTGTGGCAACAGCTTTGACAACATGCCTGAACTGCACAAGCACATCCTGGCCTGTGCCAATGCGAGTGATAAGAAGCGTTACACTCCCAAGAAAAACCCCATCCCCCTCAAGCAAATAGTGAAGAGTCCCAACGGAGTGGTGTCACCCACAGCCGCCGCCGCCGCTGCAGGCCACAGTGCTTTCCGTAGAATGGGTCAGCCAAAGAGACTTAACTTTAGTCAAGAAACTGCTAAAACAAAAATGACTGCCCTCAGTAAGAAGAAAAACCAGCTGGTCCAGAAAGCCATCTCACAGAGAAATAAAGCCGCCACGACTGCGAAGAAGGCCACCATCAAAGCTGAAGAAGAGCAGGCCTCCAACGTCTGCCCCCACTGCAGCCGGGAGTTTACTTACCCCGCAAGTCTGAACAAACATATGGCCGTCAGCTGTCCCATGAAGCCTGTTGTTGTTAAAAAGGGCAAAAAGGGTCTCGCAGAGGTGAAGAAGGAGGCAGCGTCTGTGGTGGACAGAAACACAAGTGTTAAGAAGAAAGCTTCAGACTGTGAAACGCAGGCCGAGCCGGGCCGTAAACCTCTGGGAAAGACCCGAGCTCGCAGCTCCGTTACAGCCGGCTCCGAATCCTTCCAGACGAGAAAAGGAAAAACTGCTGCTACCGTGAGACGACTCAAGAGGCCCGCCTCATTCCCAGCACCGGTCCGTGCGAGCAAAAAACCCAAGAAGGGCCAAGTTCAGTCTCTACCTCCCACCCCGTCGGCCCAGGACGCTCCCGGCGACGCTGCACAGCGGCCCGGTGTGAGAATGCAGCGCATGGGCAAAGAGGCAGCGCCCAAGAGGTTAGCAGAGGCCAAATCACCACCGCAGCCACCGCAGCAGCAGCAGCAGCAGCTGAAGAAAGAGGAGCGGTTCTCCCTCCGGACGAGGGAACGGGTGGGTGGCCCGGTGACCAGGAGCCTGCAGGCCAGCACAGCCTCTCCTGCTGAGGTGAAGGCTGAGGAACCGCCGACTCAAGAGCCAAAAGAGACTCAGGTGAGACGTCCAGTGTGTGTTTGTGTGGTACCTATTAATGAACACACATCATCTAGCAGCTTATTGTGAATGTGTTGGTATCACTGTGCATGTTCAGAAACTGGTCGTTCAGAGATAAAACAATCGTATTAGTATTTTAGGAGTCTCCCTCAGAGGGCTGATAAGTTAACGGCAGCTCTGGATGTCGTTTCACTTTCAGAACTGTGCTTATCATTGCTGTCCAGTTGACTTGTGTGTACCTCCACAGTCAGGTGACTTTATGTTTTGAGGGTTGAAATGTACCAACAAACACCCAAACTGAGTATTTAGGAGCTGCCCTCTCACTAAGGGGAAACAAAGCTGCTTTATGTAGCTCATAAAACATTTTGGAGATGCTTTCATGAAACTAAATTCAGTAAGATTTTTAAATGCTAAACAAATATCTCTATATGCCTGTGTGCCATGTGTAATGAGTTTCATCTGTCCTACTACATCAAAGCAAGACAACTCCAGGGATGCAGCAAATGTTTTTATTTATTTTTCCAGCTGATTATTTTATCAATTAATCATGACGTTCATAAAACATTAGAAAACAAACGTGGAGCCACCATTAGACGACAGCATAACGTTAAGGCAGCACAAAGCAGAAAATCTCATGTTTAATATTTTAGAACCTTGAAACATGAAAATGTCAAACTTTTGTTAATCTTTTTATTTTTGTCAGTGTCATGGCTGAGTGTTTCTGCCTTGGCACTGATCAAGTGTACGAATGACAACCTCAGAAGCACAGATTCAAACACAAACGTACGGAGGCGTCCTGTCAGTGTGGGTCGTGGGTTATTCTGTATCAGAGCAGCAGTGAAGAACAGACATGTTGTGTTTTGGGTTTCAAAAGGAGGAATCATGAGCCCTGATCTGACATCACTGCACATTAAACCAGAGGCTCGTGTTGTGTGTTACTGCTAATGTTGTAGACGGCACATGTGAAATACAAAACCTTCTTCTTCAGAGTCGGTTTCAGGCTTGAGCGTGTTTAGCTGAATTACCTCAAATATTACAGCTTTTTCATTTTGCTGCTCAGACTAGTTTTGCGGAGCAGAGTTGAAGGTTAGCGGACAGGCTCAGAGCAGCAGAGACTGATTCACAGAGACCTGCCATTTGAAGGCAAGAAGGAGCTACTGTCACTTCAACATGTTCAGTCGTGACTCCATAATCGACCCTTAACAATCCTAAACCTGCTATCTGACAGGTTTTAGGAAAAACCAACAGAACCCATAAAAACAGCCTTAACATAGCGACAGCCTTGGATTGTGACTCCGACATGACATTTAATGTCACCAATCAGGATGACGGCGTATTATCTGACTGAACAATCCCACAGATTGGCTACGTTCACACTGCAGGACTTGATGCTCAATGAGGATTTCTTTGTGACTTCCTTCACGTTTCCACTTCAATGCGACTTGTATGTGATCTGCTGTGTGAACTTCATACGAGCCAAAAGTGTCCCGCATGCGCAGAAGAGGACACGACGACGTCACACGCAGCGAGCGTGCTCAGTGTTTATGGAAGTAAACATGGATGGTAACGGTGGAGCGTATCTGCCACTCCCCCGCCGCCACCGATGGAGGAAACAGAAGTGTGAGCGCTAACTAAACTAGCATCAGCAGCCAAGTACTGCCTGTGTGTTCTGGACACTTCCACCCCGTCAGAGCGCTGCCCCGGGGTGGAAGTGTCCCCCGACCGCACTGAATGTTCTGATATTCATCATTAATTGGGCCTGAATATCCAGAGAGCAGAAAGTTCTACTGGGACCAGCCCTACTAGTTATTATAACAACTATGAACAAGAATGAACAACTCCTTCCAGCATCAAGCCCTCCTCGTATCTGGACCTCCGTCTGGACAATCCGACATAGAAGAAGGTTTTACATTTAGTGTCGGATTATTGAGTCAAGACTGTATATTTGATAAACAGAAAAGTTTTTTAGGATTTGAATCCATCCCAGGACAGTCTGGTCAGCTGTTGACTCATCCCTGTCACTGCTTGTTGCTCATCTCTGTCCCGTGTGTTGCAGGAGGTGCTGATGAAGTGAGCCATGTGGACGCTGTGGAGCTCTTCCTGGTAATCCGACACTCTGGACTCACCAAGGCGCCGAGGACGACCTTTGTGGTGGTTTTATTCACTCAAAACAAGTCTGCTTGTCCCAACTGCCTTTTCTGGATTTGAGGAGGGAACTCTTTTTATCTTCCATCTGTCTGATGAACTGAACTGAGCCTCGATTTTTAGCCAGCCTTGCAAAAAAGGAAACTGTAAATGACAATGAGTTAATATATGCGAGACGTGTCATTACTTGACCCAAAACAGTAAGCTTAGGGCTCCGTTACTTTTGGAAAGCTGATATATTGCAGAAGGCAATCACGTATCAGTTAGGGTTAGGGAAACTTGGTGAAGCTTTCGTTCCGTATTTTCCCCACTTGGTTGTTTAGATTTCCGGATGTTTCCAGAGTCTCTTAATGCATGTCGCTGAATAGAGTACAAACTAGATGAAGCCAGTTCCCACGTCTCTCCCGATGGGCGCCTACTTCAGTTTATACATGATTTGCAGACTATGTATGTTTGATTTAAATTTTTTCGTTGTCATTATATTGTAGAATATATCTTTTTTTGGCATATTTTTGTTTGGGAAACAAAAATGAAAATGGCGGTTATTTACCGCGACAATTGGTCCTCAGGAACACTGTATATGCGTGTGGTAGGTATATGTATGGTTATGATTGGATGTGCAGCCCGACAGCTACTCCTTAGGTCTAAATCTCAATCCGTTTGTACTTGCTCTCTCTCTTTATCCGGCGTCAGCAGGTAATTGTCAAATGATGGGAATGGCGTTGTCGTCTCCTTAAAATGATGTCCGTCTTGAAAATGATTTTTTTAATCTCGCTCATACGGCCCAGTGTTCTCACAGCACTTTAAAACAAACTGCCAAAACGACGAGCTGGATCGATTGGTTTCCTCACACGGTGAATGGTGGAATGTATTCAGGTCTGTTGCACTTCGCAGACGACGGCAATGTTGCCCCAAAGTGGAGCAAATCACTCATCTGATGTTTTGTCAACTTTTACAGCCAACAAATCACCAAACCGGTTGTCCTCGATTTGACAATGACACATGACACAACTTTAATATGTCAGCATGCATGAAACTGACTCAGATCTTTACATAAGATGATAAGAATGCAGCAGTGTTTTGTATTTTCTCTTCCTGGCCGTTGTAAATGGACAAAGTTGTCTCATGTGTCGTCTTTTTTTGTTTTGTTGGAAAGTCGCGCCACAGTAGCTGAAAGATTCCTCCCCTGAAGACGTCGTTGTCTCAGTGAGGATGAAAGTGTCATCACGGCCCTGCCGATGGTTGTTATTGTTTTAGTTTAGTTCAGTGCTCACCCGACTTCTTCACTCGACTATATCCAGCTGAGATCGCAGACACGCAGGCAGCGCTTCAACGCTCGTAGCATGTTATGGGAACGTAAATTGAACAATATGATTTGAAGCTAATTTATATTTCCATGAGAAATCTTCATGTTTTGCCTATCAGCATCAAGATTATGTATTTAAGGATGAACAAAGACAAAAATCCCAAATGACCTCAAGTAAAAACACATTGCTGTAATTGACATAATAAAAAAAAAGTTTTTCAATTTGTGTAAAGCTTTTATTGTTTTTGTTGGTTCTGGTTCTGCTGGATGGTGTAGATGGACATTTAATGGGAGGAAACATCGGTTTAGTGTTGAGCCAGATTTAAATCATCATGATATAGTTGTAGGGCTGCAGGTGGATCAGTGGGTCAGTGGTTAGCACCGTGGCCTCACAGCTAGAAGGTCGCCGGTTCACATCCCGGTGAGGACACCCGGGATCTTCCTGCGTGGAGTCTCCCCGTGCAGCGTGGGTTCTCTCCGGGTTCTCCGGCTTCCTCCCACAGTCCAGAAACATGCTGAGGTTAATTGGTGATTGTAAATTGTCCGTAGGTGTGAATGTGAGTGTGCTTGGTTGTCTGTCTCTAAGTGTAGCCCTGTGATAGACTGCTTACCTGTCCAGGTGAACCTGCCTTCACCCTGAGTCAGCTGGGATAGGCTCCGCCCCCCATAGTGAGGATGAAGGTGTAGAGATGATGGATGGATGGATGGATGGATAATATAGTTTTTATGTTGATTTAATGTGTATTTCTACATTATCAGTTTACTGGTTATGTAGAAACCTCCAGAGTCACTCTGTGGATGTGGAGAGAACATGTGATTAACTGCACTCATAAGTGGCTCCGACTCCTTTTATATACTGAGTTTTTTATTTTTTTTTAACATAATAGATGTCCCTGCCATTGCAGCTGTAATAAAGTTCTCCACATTACATTTGCTGATTGCCTCCTCCACTTAGAGTTTGGCAGAGAGCTGCCAAATTATGAAAAAGGAATTCCAGTTTCCATTTTATCTGAGTTTGATAGAAGGTGGTACCGAACATAAATCAGGTTTTAAGTTGCTGCCTTTACTCCGCAGGTCAGCAGGCTGCTGCCGCCGGGGCCACGGCCGCCGCCGGCCTGCTGGATGCTATGAGATCGGTGTCTATTTTGGGAGCAGTTCACTTGTCAGGGAGGTTGATATGTGAGTCATACAGCACCTTACATTCCTACCTCGGACTTGTCGCTTTGTGTGAGCCGCCGTAGAAACAGTGAGCGACTTGGTTAAGATTTAAGATGCATTCTGAGCTTCATGTGGACGTCACAGCCGAAGTGACGTTTTATTGAATTAACTGCTTTGGTCAATTAGATTTTGAGCAACTTAATCATCTGAAATGTAAAGTTATTTGTTAATTCAATCATGCAGCCTCGCCGTCACCCATCACCGTATTTACAAAGTAGGCTGCTGGCTTTATCTTTAATTTTATTTATGAAGCTATATTTTCTTCTGGTTGCTACTGTGCATAAGGTCACTCCCGTATATTAGAGTCATAAGTCAAAGCAGAGCTAATGTCACACAGGCAATAAAAACACAAACCGTTGTTCACACAATCATAAATTATTGCAAATAATTCAGGAGTGTTGTATGTCTGGGACGGTCTCCTGCAACCAAACAAATGGTAAAAAAGCCATTCATAAACAAAATTAAACCTGCAAACCCACACATAGAATAAACGAGCGTCTCCTTTATGACCAGTGCAGATGTAGAAACACACAAAAGGACGGCCGGTCTTCTTATAGACACACAGTTATAGTATTATGTGGAAAATGGTAAAATACACTCTCAGCTCTCTCAGGATGAGTATTGGATGCAAATGCATTAATAATTAAGTGTATTTATTATAAGCTCAGCTGCAGTAAACATCTTTCAAGGTGTTTTATTAGCATCATTTCTGTTTGCGAGCTATCCCACCAAAATAAACACCCTGAACTGATTAATATTCAATGCATCCAGCCCGGCTACTGAAACACACATTTCCCTCCACAACAGCAAAATAAAAAAGTCATTAATACAACTTTATGTTTCTTGAATTTACAAAAAAAAGGAGGTCTATCCACCTGGATGGAGGACCAAAGCGTCCTGCACGTCTCCTCACAGCCTTCAAGGTCTCATCTGGCTCCAGCGCATCTGCCCAGATTATTTTTGGCCGGACCTCATCCGTCACACTCACGTACCTTAATGAGCCATCGAGCCCGCCGGACAGACGGTGCAGCAGAAATGTGCTCCTAGCGTTGGACACAGAACCGCCATAAGAGCTGTGACGTCCCGCGGGCCTGACGGAGCGCGTGACGCTGATGGATGGGGTCATGAATTAAATGCAGTCTGTATGTTGGATTTGATGCACAGGCCGGATTTCTCTTCATTCGGTTGGACGGGGAGACGTGTTTATTTGCCCCGGTGCCATGATGCTGTGGTTTATGGCTGGATGTGGTTTATGGCCGTGTGTGTGTGTGTGTGTGTGTGTGTGTGTGTGTGTGTGTGTGTGGAGGGGTGGGCACTTGGAGGAGTGCTGCACCATACTCACGCTGTCAGGGTGAAATATGGCTGCACTCTCTCTTGATTGCTGTGTACCGTGCTTCAGCCCTATTCATAAAAATGCAATTCCATGCAGCTCTGTGCCTGACTTGACGAAATAAACTACGATATAGCAGAGAGGCAGATTTAGGATGTAGAAGAGCAGAACAATGACCTGCTTCAGCCGATCAATTGCCTCATGTTGTGGACCAGCATCTGTTCCGAGAAGCAGAACGACCTCAGGCTGGCATACATTAATAAAATCACATCTAGTTTAATATTTGACTTCATGACTTGATTAGGCAGTGGAGCTGTCACTGCAGGATGAGCTCTAGTCGATGTCGTTGCTGCTTTGAATCTCCAAATTCAGTAAATATGAATTTTTCAGATGAACTCTGTTATGTAACTGGAGTTCAAGAAATACTTCTCCATTAAAACCCATATTAAATTATCTAAAAGAATAAGTCCACAGTGTTGGTAGCGGCTCTGCACTCAGACACTTGATTTTCTGATAAGTTCTGGTTGCTTTTTCTTTTTCCCCTGCAGCCGTCCTTCAGACCACCAGCTTCACTGCTATTTAAGTCTCCTCCCTACAGCTGCTTGATTTCAGAGATTGCTTTGAATTCTGTCACACATTTAAATCACATTTGCTCAGAACCATGTTTTCCTTTGTGCCTCGCTCGGTGTCACATCAGGCTGAGGCTCGGCTGTTTGTGCAGCGACCGGTGACGGGAACGTCTTCAGATTTGCGGGCAAGTATTGGAAGAGTTGAATTTTTGACCTGATGAAGGGCGAGTCGGGGAATTACAGTTCCTCCTGAGGGAGGCATAAATGTCTGTACAAATATTTCAGCGCGGCCCAGTGTGGTGGATGGATCGAACAGCATGCTGACACTGCCAGCCGCAGATCCACTAGCACGGCTGGACTTGTCACAAAGATGACAGCAGCGCTGAAAAGATGAGAAGCTGGCTTTTCTTGTTGGTACAAGGTCTTCACAGGACAATAAGTTTACTCAAGTGTTCCCAGTGAGGCAGAAAACTTTTGGATTATACAACATTTAAAGTGCATTGTGCTGTGTTGTGCTCTTTGTAGGGATGCTGGATGTTTACTGGTGCAAAGTGGTGCTTGTTTAAAATAATCTTTTGTTTTTTTGTGGAATTTATTTAATGCAGGCTGCACGGTGTCTCGGTGGTTAGCACCGTGGCCTCACAGCTAGAAGGTCGCCGGTTGGCGTCCCGGTGAGGACACCCGGGATCTTCCTGCGTGGAGTCTCCATGTTCTCCCCGTGCAGCGTGGGTTCTCTCCGGGTTCTCCGGCTTCCTCCCACAGTCCAGAAACATGCTGAGGTTAATTGGTGATTGTAAATTGTCCGTAGGTGTGAATGTGAGTGTGCTTGGTTGTCTGTCTCTAAGTGTAGCCCTGTGATAGACTGGTTACCTGTCCAGGTGAACCTGCCTTCACCCTGAGTCAGCTGGGATAGGCTCCGCCCCCCATGACCCTGGTGAGGATGAAGGTGTAGAGATGATGGATGGATGGAATTTATTTAATGCTGTGTTAATAATGTTTTTTTAAAAAGTAGAAAAAAAGCCGCTCTGTGTCTTCGTACACGCCTGATGTGTTAAACCTGCTTCATCCAACCAACATGTATGACTGACGGTTATCAATGTACAGGAACACGTGGAGCAGATTCTCACACTGATGCTTTATGAGCTTGTGCTAAAACAAAGTATCTGATTGAATATATGGAATCTGGAACAAGCTGAATTGTTGGTATTCTGCAGAGAGACGGCTGCCGGTGACAGCAGACACGGGGGGAGGGAGTGACAGTTGCTCATACATGACAATATACAGCCGCCCAAAAAGCTCACATGGCCCTATTTCCTGTTCAAAGGGAATAGCATTAAAGCTGATGAAGATGGAGACGAGATTTATTCTGCTGGGCTTAGACTTGAAAGTGAAGCCGCGTCTCGAGTCTTCTCTTTGTTTGTGAGACGTCAGTTTGACCTCGACGTGTTGCAGATGTTCTTCATGTTTGGTGCAGCCACATGTGGTTTCAAATCCAATCCAGTTTATTGTCATGTTGCTGTCCATCCACAGCAGTACAGGCAGGATGAGAGCGTTTCTACAGGATCCAATAACTTAAAGCAATTTAAATAAACAAGTGTTTGCATCTCTGGATCAGCAGCTCAGCGTTCTGACAGCTGGTGGCATGAAGCTGGAGGTTCTTCCTCTAACGCTCCGGGAACGTTTGGCTGATGGCAGCAGTTCAGACGGTTCATGGGGAGGGTGTGAGGAGGGTTTGTTGCTGCTTCCAGCCTCAGTGACTATTTAACTCTCTTCGGCAGCTTTTTAAACGTCGGCCCGGTTTTCATGTCTCCTCCTTATTTGTATTTTTCCTCACAGAAGCACCTGCTCCAGTGGGTCCGGCCTTCCTCCCACTGCGGCCCACCGAGCGTCCTGCCGTTTCCTTTCAAAACAGGAGGATGTGATGCGAGGATGTGAGCTGTGGTCAGGTCCCCGGTGAGCTCGCCCTGCAGAGCGCTGGTGTGAGAGATGGCTCCATGACAATGGGTTTCCTGGCAAAGGTTTCTCTTTTTTTTCTTGCTGGGGAGGAAACTGTCCGTCTAACAGCGGTTTACAGGCTGCAGAGAGGTGAGGAGGTGCAGCGAGGGCCTGAGCGTGATAATATGTTGGAATAACTGTGTCAGTCTTGTCTGTGCTGGAGGTCTCCATGCCAACCGCTGCACACCGGGTACAATACAACCGTGCCTCCGAGGCCTGGGAGGGTATTTTAGGATCTCGTAACATGTGCTCATTTGATCCTGTGGTATAGTTAATTTTTTATTACAACACCTTCTTGTGACTGCTGCAGCGTGTGGAAGGTGTTTTCACACATGCCAGTAAAGCTCATTCCTCACCAGAGCTGTTGCACCACACGGCGAGGCGAGTACAAGTTTGCAGGAGGGATATTTTCAGTGCAGTAGGAGCTAATTTTTATTTTATACTCAGCAGTTTTCTACAATTCCTTTTCAAGATGAAGCCTCTGGAAACCAGCAGCTGCACCAGCCCTACTTTCCACTTTTCATACAGCCCCTCCACTTTCTCATCCTCCTTTTTTTTTTTTTCCCCTCAGCACTGGGGGAAGATGAAGCACTCGAGTTTGCTAGAATCTGTTTCCCAGCAGCGGCCCGAGCTTTAAGATGGATCGAGGGGATTTGCATGGGGTAGGGTGGAGGGAGTAGAGATGTGAGAGAGAGAAGTGTTGGTGCTGAGGCGCAGCAAATGAGGGCTGTGGAGAGGGGAGGAGGGTGGGAGGAGTGAAAAGGGGGCACACAGATCCGAAAGCAGCGGTCCTGTCCTATCCATGCCCAGAGGACAGACGCTGAGAGTGAAGGAGGGAGGGAAGAGGACCGACTCGTACCTGCTGTAGACGCTTCACTCGCCTCCTCTCATCCAGCCAGTGTGGAGCCGCAGAGGACTGTCAGCCTGTACAGACGAAGCAGCAGATCAGAGTGCTGGCAGAGCAAGTGTGCCTCCAGCTCTGCTACCTGCTCCGCCACCGTGCACGACTCTCCCCCACGCATGCACATCAAAATGCGATCGCAGAGAACTTTCTCCCGCGCGCACACACTCACACGCTGACAGGCAGGCGGCGGGCGGCACACCCCCTCCCGTTATCTGTGCGGCGAGCGGTTCTGCTCATATCTGTGTGAGCAGCGACGGGCTGCGTTTCAGTCCTCAGCAGCAGCAGCAGCAGCAGCAGCAGCAGGACGGGTCCAGAGGAGAGCGGTCATCACCACACATCACACACCAGCTTCTACTACTGAAGGCAAGCCTCCCTCCTCCTCCTCTCTCTTCTTCTTCTTTCCTTCCCGTCCTCCTCTTTCTCCCCCACCACCCCGTCCTGATGTGACGCAGTGTTGCTGACCTTCTCCTATCATTCTCCCCTCTCCTTCTCCTCAGCGTGGGCCAGTGGGACAGCCATGGAGGACACCCTCACCTGCAGCCATGCCACCTTCTCCCAGGTGTTTGGACGTCAGGGACAGCTCATGCAAGCCAGTGAGTAGCCTCGATTACACCTCCTCCTGACAGACCATTAACCACCTGCATGTCCCAGCGTAACTGGTCTCCACCCTCAGCGCTTCCTCCACCAGCCCATCCTCAGTCTTAATGCCATTTTAATTGAGCTGGTGGTAAAAGGTGCAGCCAGACCTCTGTGCCGTAGAGGAAATCTGTTTGCTGAGGAAACCTGGGTTGTACATCTTCAGTGAGACAAGGATCTGTGCTCATGTAAAGGGCAGTAAGTGCTTGTTCCTCAGCAGCTTGTGTGGTTGCAGCTGATGCACTTGAAGTTTCTGAGGAGCTGCATTAAGTTGTGTTGCATTGGGACGACAAAAGCACGTTTTTCAGACGGGATGGACTCGGGGCTGTGGTGCACCGGGTTGCATTTGAGCCAAAAGAGGCACTTTGTTGGAACTTGAATGATTGGAAACAGACTGTTTGGTTGATTAGTTAATGGATCAGTTATGAAGGCTCGTTAGCAAAACTGAATCTCTGCATGTTTTCAGTCAGTACGTTGAACTCCAAAGCAGCAGACGTGGATTTTTCTTCAGGTGTCACATCAATAACAAAGGTTCCAGCTGATACATATTCATAATGCAGGTATCGGCGAGGTTGAGTCTAACAGGCTGCGACGCCACCAGAGAGCCTCTCAGACTGATAACTAAATTATTGAAAACTGAATCTATCAAAATTTTCAGGGGCGTAGACACGTTGAGCACAACCTTGGAGCGCTACAAATGAAGCATACTCAAGTGATATCTTATTATGTAATGCACACGGTCAGAATACATATTTCCCCTGAGATGGAAAAAAAAAAAAAAGAAAGTGCAGAGATTGACTTATCTCCAGAACGAGAGTGTCAGCTGCATCCTCCCTCATCTGGCCTGCTATCTCCCCTCACGGAGCCGTGCTGCGAGAACTTAGCCGACGCCTTTGATGCCTCTATTCGGCCATAAATGCAAAGTGATTCTTCACATAGCGTTATGAGGGATAATGAGGAGAGTAAAGCCGCCTTAAGAGTTGCATCCCATGCATTAACTTTGTCACATCCATTTGATATCCTTGTGTTTCTCATCATTACCACCTGGAGAGAGGGAGAGACGCCGGGCTGGAGTTTCAAAGCAAGTGTTATTAAGAAGAACTGACTTTGTGGAGCTAATAATGGAAACACATCAGTCACTGGAAGATTCATGCTTCTCCACCAGTGTTTCTTAATTAAGCTGTGTTTCAGGATCTTTGGGATTTTGGATGATTTTTTAAGAAGATAAAAATGTAAATCTTGTGCAGCGGATTATTGTTGTGTTCGCTGAAGTTCTTCGCCCCCTCTTTGCACCGGAGCGCCCTTTAATAAATAATGCACTTTGTTTGAACGTATCCCTGGGCTTAACACTCTGTTGATAAGAGCACATTACTGTTAAAGGTTCGCAGGGCCCTGATTAAAATTCTGCTTCTGCCAGGCTGAGTGTTGGAAGCATCTGGAGCGTTGTTGATCTGATGAGCATCTCACTGGTTTCATGTTTCTACGGCGAGCAGAGGCGGCGACCTCATCAGGATGTTGCATGTACAAAGTCAGACATATAATGCAGGCTATAGATGCTCACATGTGTGCATTATGAATGCATGTTTCAGGGTGCTATACGTGTGACAGTTTGTCTGGAGGGCGTTAGAGAATAAAGGGAGGTAAACCGAGACGAGGGTGTGTCGGTCGGCGCTGAATGGTTGTATCACGTTGCATCATGGCCGACAGTAAAGCCGCTCTAACCTTCAGAACAAACGTGTGAAAGTTTTAGAAATTTGTATCCAAGAGAAGCTGCAGACGTCGAAACACTACGGATATGATTGAACGTGCTTCTTCACCACTTTGACTCGTGACAGACGGCTTCTCGTGACCCGTCTGCATAAATGGCAAATTACATGTTTTGTTGATTTTTGACGTGAAGAGAAGTAAATACATCCGCCGCAGCAAACAGACATTAAAATAAGCCTGTCTTCAACTGTTATTTCTTTTTGGGCACCTTTCTGGTTTTGCTCATTAGGACTTGCAAGGCAGGCCACGGATTTCCATTAGAGGCTGTCAGCCGGTGACAGTTTCAGCGCTGATAAATTCTCTGAGTCTTCAAACCTTGTGCTAACACTCAGCAGCCGAGTGACGGAGGGTCTGAAAATGAAGCTGACTGATGCCCACTGAGCAGGGGAAGGCTATAAAAAGATATCAAAGCGCTTTCAGCTTGCAAAGTTCCACCTTCTGAAATGACATTAAGAGATGTGAAAGTCAAAACAAGATCTAAAAGAGCCAGAAAACTTTCGGAGAAAATAAGTATGCATGTCGGCCGGCCACAAAGGTAAAGCCAGACTCCAGTTTGACTGCAGATGAGCCGTAGGACGGTTTGGCCGTCAGAGGAGCGGCGCTCTGTTGGTCCTGGTGATGTGCCGACACGTGGAGGAGCTATCAGAAGGAAACCCCATCTTCAACCTCATCACCAACATCAGCTTCTGACGTCTGCAGAGACGCTTCTAATTGGAACAGAGGAGCTCTTTGGAGAAAGACTGGCAGTATTTCATAAAAAGACGATGAAGCAGGAGGTGGAAGGACTCTGCTGTGTTGTAGCATGAGAGGATTCAACTGTTATCTGTGATGTCTGTCCCTCACGGTGCTCTGAGGACCTGTGGGTCTACGGGTGGTTCTGAAGGCCGTGATGCTCAGTACATCCTACATTTTGAAGTTCATGAACTAAAACATGCACAAGCATTTCAAGAACATCTGCTACTGTTTAGCTCTTTAAACTTCATAAATCAACAGAATATGTCATTTAGCCTGAAGTGGGTCAATATTTGCATCCAGTTAGGTTCATTTTATTCCTTTGTAGAAGGCTGAAGAGGCAGAACTGTACACAGCAAATATTAGAAGAATGTTGTCTACAGCAGAAGTCTGCTTTTTTTTTTCTTCCCTTTTTGTTTCTTCTCGGTTTCATTCAGCTCATTGTTTGATCACAAAGAGCCTCGTGAGACTTCGGTACGATGTGTGTACACTATCGGCCTCATGCAAATTCTGTTTGATCGGGACCACAATGAATGGGTTAATTGTCAGAGTGGATGCACGAGCAGGAGGATCTGATCCAACAGATATGTAAATGTGAGTTCCAGCCTGCTGCTGCTGCTGCTGCTGCTGCTGGGTTTTGATGTATTTAGCTGAAATTTGCTGTTATGCTAAGTGACTTTTTTCTTTTTTTTTTAACACAAACATCTTGTGAGGAAGCGGAGTAATGACAAAGCACCAGAGCTGTTAGTACACAAGCGCAGCAGCTTTTTACAATTAGAGATGTGTTCTATCATTTGCAGCGTTTACAAGATCAAATCCTTCCTCCTGTGCAGAGTGTGAGACGTGTGAAGTGCTGCTCAGCCAAAATATGTGAAGCAAATCTGTAGCAAGGTTTCCCTTTTGTCCTGAGAGCACTTTGCAGGTACAGCTGTAATTTTGTCCTGAGTAAATAGCAGGTGAAGCCTCTGTTTGTCAGAGCTGCATGCATTATTTACTACATTTCTGCTCTTCTTTCCCCCTGCATTGCCTCCTCACCCTCCTCTTTGTCTTTGCTTTTAATTTTACCAACATTTTGTCCTACTTTTCGCTCTCAAACTGCTTGCGGCAACAGAAAGTTCACGAGGCTTAACACCTACGTGGAAAAAGCCTCGCTGCATTTGCACAAATCTCTGCAAGCTTAGGCTCTGCACCTCCTTGCCCAAATGGCCGTGCCCTGACAGTGCAGTGGTTTCAGTCACCTTTCTGCTCCACTGGGCCAAAGGGATGTGAGGATGGTGTGCGGCTGCCTGCAGTGCAGTCCTCAGAGGCCCATAACTCTGGACGTCTTTATTCTCCCCCTCGTGTTGAACCATCCTCACGCCTCGGCGAAGCGGCGGTGGGGGTCAAGGTGCTGGCTGATGGCCAACGTTCTCATCCCTGTTAGAGTCCAGCACTGCTGGCCATCGACCCTAATAGTAAGATAATTCATACAGAAACACTCTTTTAAGTGCTTCTCTGACTGAGTCACTTTAAGTGCAGGTGTGTACTAAAACTAATCTCATCAGAGCAAACTGAGTTTTTGCCAGATAAATAAACTTTGCCCCCTTTTCCGCTTCACTCCATAAAAGCTCAATGTTAAATATGTAAACAACGTATATGGCTGCTGCTGCATCTGCCTAATACGTCCCTCAGAATAGTTTATCTACTCTGACTTACATTATTGATCCTTCCTTCTCCCCGGGTCTCCCCAGCAGCACTGAAAATCACTTCCTCAGAGTCAATACCAGCCTTAGATCTCCTTCGTCTTCTCATCCCCGTATTGGATTAAGGAACCTCTGTAGAGCCGCGGCCAGACGACCACACGTGTCATCAGTCAGTCAGTACATCCCCACCAAGCTGTGACCGCCTCGGGCCAGCCAGAGCACCAGCACCAGTCTGTATCTCCTAAAAATAAATGACTAGTTGGTCAAATTCCATTAGATTTTTAAACTGTGTTTATTATATTGCTCTGTGCAGAACTCCAGCTGTGTTTTTATGCATAATTAGGTGTGTTTAGTTTAGCTGTTAGCTCTGTCTCAGGACATCAGGAGGCATCAGCCGCTGGTTTCTGTGTGGAGTTTGCATGTTGGTTAACTGGTGATGAAAATCCCTGTGAGTGTGATGGACCAGCGATCCGTCCCGCCTCTGGCCCGGTGTCGGCTCAGCTCCCCCTGCAGCCCCCTGGAGGATGAAGGTGTTACAGCCAGATGGATGAACGGGAGCTTAGCTGCTTCAGGGAGGTGGAGATCACATGTGTCTTCATTAGCACACTTTCCCTCCGGATGATCAATAAACCGATGGGAGTTCACTGACCGCTGTGTTTGCTCTGAGAATCAACTCGTCTGGTCTTTGACAGGAGATCAACATGTTCCTCTTGACTGACAGGAGTCTCTCGCTGGATGGAGATGCTGCTCTTAAGAGATGCTGAGCTTGATTGATT